TAATACAAGTACATAGAAGAAATCAAAGAATAACTTACCCATTTCGCACTCAGATTTCTAATGGTAGTCAGGACTTTTCTCCTTTTCAGAATATCTGCCCGCTCTAGCATATTTTCTGTTAGTAGAAAGATCCTCTTCATATATGTCATGAGATATTAAAGGATCATATCTATCCTCAAAAGTATTTTGTACCACAGAGTTTGAACTATGATTCTCATATAACCTATCCCTTCTAACTTTTGAATTCTCACCCGAATTCAACTGAGAAGATGATCTATTATCACGATACTTGGATATGCTAGAAGATGACCGACTGATTTCACGGTGCTTGGTCTTTCTCACCTCCAGATCATGTCGTTCCCTGTGATGACGAGTCTGTCCGTGTGACCATCCAGGATTTCTGCGACTCTCTGGACTTCTGGAATGTTTCACCATATCACGTCTGTCCCTACCGTCACTTCTATGATCTTCTAGATAGTGATGGTGTCCCTGAAGACTCCGTCTTGGTTTTTCGCTACCTTTAGCAGAAGCATCCCTGGATGTTGCAGAATCAATAGCATAATAACTAGAATGAGACTGTTTCCTGCTACGACTTGGGCTACATCCCGCTGTGTCATAATTGCTTTTTGTTGGCTTTTCAGCATCGGTGGTGATTTCAGGAGCTGATGGTAGTTCAAATGGAAAGCTCCCTTCCCCTTCATTTCCTTTCTCAAAGCACCCAATCCCGCCAGCTTGCTTGATTTCCTCCATGTACTCCTCTATAATATCCCTCATAACCTTTGGAAAATATAAAAGTAAATATCAACTGTTGATAAAATAATAAAGGGGGGGAAACTGTTGGCATCCATGCTTCAACAGGGAAAATATGTTGGTGTGATTTTTCTTTAGTTGCAAAAGTAAAATTATAAACCTAAGCCTTACCTGCAAAGTTGTTCGCTTCACCTTTTTTCCACGATATGACATTCTTCGTCTTTTGTAGTCTCTTTCTTCTGCCAATAACTCCTCTCTAGTCTTAGTCTTGTTTGTTTCCTTGTGTACAACCAACAAAGAAGAAAGAATTTGTGAGATTTAAGAATGAAAACGACCTGTCCACTTTATAACCAAACTTATTTCTAAGAAGTTAGATACAAGATAACGATCTGATTACAGCATCATATAATCAAGCATGAAGAACCAAATTACAGGAATTTCAGGCTATCACTAGGTTCATTCTTCAGCTAATTACAGCCATACTGTAAATGCACTTACCACTACAAGAGACAAGATCTTCAATCATGATG